TGGAGAAGTGTCTATTCATGTCTTTTGCCCATTTCTTCACTGGATTATTTGTTTTTTGGGTGTTGAGTTTGATAAGTTCCTTCTAGATTTTGGATACTAACCCTTTATCTGATGTGTTGTTTGCAAATATCTTCTCCCATTCTGTCGGTTGCTTTTAGTTTTGCTGACTGTTTCCTTCGCTGTGCAGAAGCTTTCTATTCTGATGAGGTCCCAGTAGTTCATTTTTGCTTTTGTTGCCCTTGCCTCTGGAGGTGTGTTGAGATTTGGATGTTAATTTTTAAAATTAGTATGGCCATCTGGTAGGAAACTAAGTGATATTAGAAGGAAAGCTTTGTTTTTTAATTATGGAATGTTTAAACATATGGTAGTAAAGAGAATAAAAACCTCCGTGTATCCATCATCCAGCACTAACATCTATCAACATATAGCTAAGCTTGGGAAAGATGATTTTTGCTGATTTGCTGTATTTTTTGTTTTTTCATTAGTTTATTCCCTGTTCTTAAAAGCGGGCTGATACCTTGATGCAATGTGTAATGCTATATACTTGTAACGTTTCTTTTTGCTCCAGTTAGTCCTGGAGCAATGTGTCATTCTTTTAAAGGAGAAGGTGGTATAATCAGATAGGTACCAGATTTTATAACCAGGTTGTGATTCTCCTGGTTGTAGCTGTAGTCAGAGAGAGACAGTTCGGTCTGTGTGGTTGGAAGAGTACTGATGGAGGGAGCACTGACTTCCAGTCTGTTCTGATGCTGTTTTAATAGTTCTATTGACAGTAGGTAGGCAAATCACTTACCTTCTCTGACTTGTAACTTCCTCCTCTGCAAAGTAGGGATGATGCTACCTGGGTTTTTTTTGTTTTTTTTTTTGTTTTTTTTTTTGTTTTGTTTTGTTTTGTTTTTGTTGGTGTTTTGGAAGCATCAGGATTACTTATTTGTGTAAGCTTCCTTGACCCTCTTTGCTCTCTGGGGGCACATGATTAAGAGTTGTCACCAGCTCATATGAGGCTAATAAAAACTATGTAAGGCTACATAAGGCCTTTGGTAATTTTTGTTCTAACAGGCAGTGCCATGAAGGAAGTAGAAAAACCAAAATACCTGAGCCACATGATTTATTACATCTGCCTGTTTTTCTTCCCCAGACCTTTTTTGCCTGAATATTTATTGAAAACCCAGTAGTCAGTTCTGTGATTTTGGTAACAGATCAAGCTGTGCCTAGCATGATAACTAATGTCTCCAGTTACTGCTCAGGAGACCTGCCTTCTGGTTGTCACATGCTGGTGTTTATATTTGTGACTTAAGTACCCAAATAGAGTGTATTAAGGAAATAGTGTTACGATGGTTTTGATCGTGTTGGGGGGAGGGGAGAGAAGTGTATAGAATAAACTATTTTATAATGAGTGATACTATAAATCTTTTACTGTGAAGATGCATGTAGCATGTGCTAGACTTCAAAAGGAGCAAGTCACCTACACCAACATAAGTCTCACTGATTTATGTTTCAGAGATCATGATTCATTAAAGTATGTTTTCTTAGATGTATTATCTTTTGTGTGCATGGAAGCTTTTTGAATACAATATATTAACTGTAAAGTTGTAATGTAATAACTAAACATAAAGTTGTAATGCCAAGTTTTTTACACTAATTTTCATTTGTTAGCAGTCTTGCTTGAATGGTCTTTTTGAGCAGAACTAATACAATATTTTGATGTGCCACAGGTAAATTTTTCCATAACCTTATGGAGAGAAAGGACTTTGAGACATGGCTTGATAACATTTCTGTTACATTTCTTTCTCTGACGGACTTGCAGAAAAATGAAACTCTGGATCACCTGATTAGTCTGAGTGGGGCAGTCCAGCTCAGGCATCTCTCCAATAACCTGGAGACTCTCCTCAAGCGGGACTTCCTCAAACTCCTTCCCCTGGAGCTCAGTTTTTATTTGTTAAAATGGCTCGATCCTCAGACTTTACTCACATGCTGCCTCGTCTCTAAACAGTGGAATAAGGTGATAAGTGCCTGTACAGAGGTGTGGCAGACTGCGTGTAAAAATTTGGGCTGGCAGATAGATGATTCTGTTCAGGACGCTTTGCACTGGAAGAAGGTTTATTTGAAGGCTATTTTGAGAATGAAGCAACTGGAGGACCATGAAGCCTTTGAGACCTCATCGTTAATTGGACACAGTGCCAGGGTGTATGCACTTTACTACAAGGATGGACTTCTCTGTACAGGTAAGAGATTCTGGAACTGTTTTGTTGTTGTTGTGCGTTTCATAGGGTATAATCTTAGAAACAGAACAAACTAGTCCTTAGGCTTGAGGATGGCAAGTATTAATTATATGAGATATCTATAGTGGAATTTCCCCCTCCCTCCATCCCTGAGTAGTTTTACACCCTTTTATCCTCTTTCCCTCTAGAAGACAAATCATTTTTATAGAATTTTGTGAGAAGAAGGCTCCAGACATTCTTTTTTTTTCTTTTTTCTCTTTTCTCTTTCCTTTCCTTTTTCCTTTTTCCTTTCCTCCATGCCCAGCATGGAACTCAATGCGGTGCTTGAACTCACAACCCTGAGACCAAGACCTCAGCTGAGATCAAGAGTCGGACGCTTAACCGACTGAGCCACCCAGACACCCCCAGACATTCTTTTAAATGTGATGTGAGTCAGAAAGCTGTAACTATTTTTTTCAGTGCTTTTTCCTTCCATGTACAGTTTTCCATGTTGGTTAAACTTTTTTTCTGTCAACAGTGATTTTTGAGAAAAACCAGTGGAAAAGATGATGCCTAGACCTAGCAAGTAATTAGATCATCTTGCAAGAATTACTTAACCTCTCTGTGTTTGTTTTCTTATCTATAAAGTATGGGAATGGAGGTATTTCTTTCTTGCTAAAATTCCTGTGGTTCTAAGAAGAATTAAAAGTTAAAAGAATTTGGGCATGGAAACAAAGACAGATGGATATTTTAATCCTAAGCAATTAAGTAACTATGTAGCAGATATAATCATTAAAATTTGGAATTGTGTGATTCTTCCAGTTATAATGGCTGTTTGTACATGTAATCAGTGCATATGTTTTAGGCAGTACATTTTGATGGGCATTGTAAATAATTCTTAGGCAATGGTGTAGAATGATTTCAGGCAGCCTTATCGATGATCCCGATGCCTTTTCACTTCCATTGTATGTAATATTTAGGGATCCTTGGTGTTCTTTTTTCATCCAGGATAATTTCTTTTTAAAAAAAATTTTTTATAGGTCAGGCCCTTCTTGTTTTTTTATTTTTATTTTTTTAATGTTTATTTATTTTTGAGAGAGAGCACAAGCAGGGGAGGGGTAGAGAGAGAGGGAGACACAGGATCCAAAGCAGGCTGCAGGCTCTGAGCTGTCAGCACAACTCGACGTGGTGCTCGAACCCACAATGGTGAGATCATGACCTGAGCCGAAGTCAGATGCTTAACTGACTGAGCCACCCAGGCGCCCTAATCCAAGATAAACATTTGAGTATTACTGAAGTACATAGTTGCCTTTTTAAAAAAATTTTTTTTAGTTTATGTATTTATTGTTTGAGAGAGAGGGAGGGAGGGAGGGAGGGAGAAAGAAAGCAAGCAGGAGAGGGGCAGAGAGAGGCAGGCGCAGAATCTGAAGCAGGCTCCACCCTGTCAGCACAGAACCCAATGTGGGGCTCGAACTCACGACCTGAGCCAAAATTAAGTCAGTCACTTAAGCCACTGAGCCATCCAGGCACCCCATAATTGCCTTTTTTAATAGCATATTCTGTTCCTTTGTGTAAATATATCATCATTATTTAGCCAGTTCAATATTAGTGTATATTCAGGTTGTTTCTATGAATTCAGAATATATCTATGAAATATTTATGAATATTTTTGTTTGCCTTTTTCCCCCCTTGAATTATTTATTTGGGGCAGAAACCTCAAAGTAGAATTACAGATCCGGAAATATAAATGATTTTAAAGCTCCTCTTAACTGTCCTTTCCAGAGAGACTGAATTTATGGCATGGCCACAGCAGTTTTAAATAACAGACTCAGTTTTAATATTCTTGAGGTGTATGATCTCTTGAGGATGTACATTTTCTCATAGTGATATGTTTCTCTAAAATGCTAAATGCTTTGCCAGTTTTATAAAATGAACATTAAACTTAAGGCATTTCGTGGTTTTTGTCATCCTAAAGTTACTCCATGCTTACATTATTCTGTGTCCTATAAGCCGGATTATTGGAAAGGTATCATCCATTCTTTTATACTTGGATGTGCTTTCCCAGTTGGAGCAATGGCTTTTCTGTGTCCTTTTTGTCTTATGATCAATGGCAGGTAAGTTTTAAAGATTAAGATGCAGTATTGCCTTCGAGCCTTGTGCTCATTCACACTTGGGCAAATACTGGCAGTTGACTCATTTTCAGAACCACATGTAGCTTTAAAAGAAAAATTCTCATCAAATTTTACTTTTGAAATGCAGTAAAACTTGACTTTAACTTGGGGCAGAAGTGAATGGGACACATTCACTGAATTCTTCAACTACCTGGAAAGTTAATATCTGCAATAACGGTGGACCCGACCCTGCATTTTAAGGTTATTCTGTAGGTGGGTCTATATTTTGTATTTTTTGTTCTGATTAAATTCATCAAGTTTGTGTATTGAAAATTATGCTCTATTGAAAATAATCCAAAGCTTTAGTTTAATTTTTCTTTTCTTTTTTAAAAAAAATTTTTTTAATGTTTTTATTTTTGAGACAGAAAGAGACAGAGCATGAGCAGGGGAGGGTCAGAGAGAGAGGGAGACAAAGAATCCGAAGCAGGCTCCAGGCTCTGAGCTGTCAGCACAGAGCCCGATGCGGGGCTCGAACCCACGGACCGTGAGATCATGACCTGGGCTGAAGTCAGACGCTCAACCGACTGAGCTACCCAGGCACCCCAAGTTTAAAATTTCTAATAGCTGTATCCCTGAAACTATAACTAGTGAGAGAAGTGTTTGTTATGGAATTATACATACCTTTGTTTCATGCTGTTACCAAAGAGGTAGTTATCCTTCTGCTGAGTTGTGATTTCTGAAATGGTGAGAAAGGAACCTGTTGTGCTTTGTTTGTGCTACGCAGTAAATAATTAGAAACTACTATGTGAAAGACAATGTAAGGACATATGTGGATGAATTAGGACAGTTCTTTGCTCAGAGAACATACATACTGGAATCAGGAAGTAACCTGATTAAGTAAAAGTCTCCATGTAGACTGTGCTAGTGAGAGAACACTTGCCCTTCTAGAGAGGGTAGCTGCTGCTCTACTGCAGTGAATTATTTGCCATGTGGGATATAGGCTCACAGTGGTCAGATCTGATTTTTCAAAGAAGTCCTAAATCTAGATTTTTGTGCAATATTCTGATTGATTTTTTTTTTTTAGTGTACTGATTTTTAAGTATTATCACATTTTAAAAATATTGTGATTGTGTCATATTTAACCTGCACGCTGCCATATTGTGACCATGGCTTACAGTTGAATAAGAAAAACAACAGCTATAAAAGATATGCGGTCAAATGATATATTTGAATTGTATGAGTAAAAAATCAGTTGTTCAGAGGAAGGAGTGAGGTCTTTCATTTGCAAAAATTGAGCGGTGTTTATGTTGAATCTTGGAGAATGGGTAGATTTTAGAGAGGTGAGAATAAGCACTTTCCAGCAAAGGTATGGAAAGGGCTAAGCATGGGGCATATAGGAGGAAAATAAAAATTCTTTTTATCTGAACTCAGTATATAATTAAGGACTCTATAAGAGATTCTTAGAATATAAGCTGAAGAATTGTCTTGAGCTGTATTGTAAAAACCTTAAATATTGGGAATATGAGTTTGGACAGTTTTCTTTAAGCAATAAGAAAAACTATGAAAGATTTCTGAGCAGAGAAAGGGCCAGGACTAGAGCATTCTGCTCCAAGTAGACCAGTGTTTCTTATTTCTGCCAGGCCCCAGGTCCTCTTTTTGTAACGTATTTTACAATATTCTCTTACCTTGAAGTCAAATTCATAGAAATAACTTACCTGTACATACACATATTTCAAAAAATCAATATAATACCTAAACTCTGATCCAGAGGAAAAATAAGACAGTAATTTAAAATAACGCACAGGGGCGCCTGGGTGGCGCAGTCGGTTAAGCGTCCGACTTCAGCCAGGTCAGTCGATCTTCTACTGGAGGTCTGTGATTCCGAGCCCCGTCAGGCTCTGGGCTGATGGCTCCAGCCTGGAGCCTCTTTACAAATTCATGTCTCCCTCTCTCTCTGCCCCCCCCGTTCATGCTCTGTCTCTCTCTGTCCCAAAAATAAATAAACGTTGAAAAAAAAAAAAATAACGCACATTAAATGTGTTGTGCCCAACTTTTAGCTTTGTTAGAAAACATTTAGTGTAATCAGATGTTTTTGTGTATGTATATCCTCATGGTTTGACAGTTGTATAAATAACCTGGGTGTTGTATTGTACCATCGGTGATGGTCCTGAAGTGGTTAGAAAGTCTCCAACGGCATTGAAGTGCATTTTTCCTCAGTCTACCTGGTAAGTTACCACTCAGGGTCAGAATGGAGCTTCAGTTAGCTGTAAAAAACCGGGTCCAATCTCCGTCAACTAAGAATAAACTTGTCTGAGCCTTGAACCTTTTAAAGGCAATCAGGCGAATCTTTAAGTCATGCAAGAATATGAAGCGCCTGGGTGACAGATCGGTTAAAGTGTTCAACTGGCAGCTCCCCAGGTCATGATCTCGTGGTCTCAGGTCCATCGGCCCCTCTGTGCTGACAGCTCAGAAACCTGGGAGCCTGCTTCAATTCTGTGTGTGATGCTGCCTCTCCCTCTCCTCCCTCCCTCCTCCCTCTCAAAATAAATAAACATTAAAAAAAAGATAAATGCTGGAAAGATACATGTTGACTATTCTTTTTAATACACGTGTCCCCCCAAATGCCGATGTCCATTTCTGAATTAGCACCCAGTAGAGGCTGGTAATTTAGACCCCCCGCCTCCCCCCCCCCCACTGCCTCAAATCCTTGTGACACTTGAAACCACCCCTGCAAATTTCTAAAATGTTCCCTTGGAGGATGACACTACTTATATGAAGACCCTCTGACATAGACAGATCTAGAATTTCTAAAGTATTAGCCTATTGCATTTTAGGTAAGAGTAGATCTAGATTTAGGATAGTAGGTGTAGAGTTTTTTTTTTTTTTTTTTTTGGTTTTACGTTTTACTTAATTTTTTTTATGTTTATTTTTGAGAGAGAGACAGACAGACAGAGTAGGGGAGGGGCAGAGAGAGAGAGGCAGACACAGAATCCTAAGCGGGTTCCAGGCTCTGACCCAGCACAGAGCCCGATGTAGGGCTCAAACTCACAAACCGTAAGATTGTGACCTGAGCCGAAGTCAGTCAGACACTTAACTGACTAAGCCACCCAGGCGTCCCAAGGTTTATTTATTTTTGAGAGAGAGGGAGCGTGCCCCCAAGTGGGGCAGGGGCAGAGAGAGAGGGTGCAGAGGATCTGGAGCAGGCTTTGTGCTGACAGCAGAGAGCCCAGTGCAGGGCTTGGACTCACAAACTACAAGATCATGACCTGAGCTGAAGTCAGATGCTCAACCCACTGAGCCACCCAGGTGCCCGAAGGGTAGAGATTTTTTTAAAGGAGCAGTTAAATGGAAGAGCAGCCATTGAAATGGAATTAACAAGACTTAGCAATGGACTGAGTATGTGGCGAGGAAAATACCTGGGAAGGTGGTAGTACTGGTACCAAGAATAGGAAATGAAGGAATAAATTTGAGCGGGTAGAGGGAGTTCAATTTGGAATGAAATTTAAAAAAAATTTTTTTTAAAGTTTATTTATTTTTAAGAGAGAGTGCAAGCAAGGGAAGGGCAGAGAGAGAGAGACAGAGAATTCTAAGCAGGCTCCCCAGTCAGTGCAGAGCCTGATGTGGGGCTTGATCTCACAAACTGTGAGATCGTGACCTGAGCTGAAATCAAGTCAGATGCTTAACTGACTGAGCCTCCCAGGTGCCCCTGGGATGAACTTCAATGCAGTCGGATGTGATGGAGATTCCGACAAGGTTCTGGAAATGTAACATCAGAGCTTTGGGGAATAGCTCAGGGCTAGAGCAAAAGGTTGAGGAGTTAGTGACATTTCAGCTATGGCTATAACAGTGAAATTCAAAAGGACATGGAGAGGAAAAAAGAATGGGGCCTAGGATGGATCCTTGAAGAGTGTACTTAGGGAAGAGGTAAAGAAGAATGGTGATGAAGAGAGTTTCAAGGGCAGTGAAAATTGCCTGTATGAAAGAGGCACTGGCCAGTGTTTGTTCAGTTGGTCATCAGAGTCACATGCCTCCAAGAGGCAGTTGAGAGCTGAGATCTGATTCTACCAGTTAAATATTTAAACCTTGCTGGATACGATAGTTTATTCCATTTGAGTTACAGCTCAGTTTTCTGCTTACGTTTGTTATATACCCATCCCTGGAATTTTTTATATCAAAGTATTGTTTTCAACCTCTTCTGAATTGAGAGGGTTTTTTTTTTTTTTTTTTTTTTTTT